GAAGGGCTGTCTGGAGACCGAGTGGAACCAATGAACAGTAAAGATTATCTGGGTGTTTGTTGTAGAGTGTTGACACAGTGCATTACGCCTACTGCTCCCTTTTCCCACCTCAAATTTTTAGGCCAATCTGTTATATGACAATTTAAACATCAGTATCACCGAAGCAGTTTCCATTCAGAAAGCACTACCAGGATGCAACCCTAAAGCCACGTGGCATCTGAAACGCCCTGATGCGCAGGAGGCAGGCATCAACCAATGACCTTAAGTAACCATAAACATTGCTTTTGTCCAAAATGTACGTTTATGACTGTAAACCATCTTTAATCCGAGGCGGCCATAAAACTGCTTCGAAAACCTGCATCGAAGCAACGCCCTGACCAATTGAGAGCCAAAGCAGAAAGATACCCGTGTACCACTTAGAGTGGACATGAAACACTGCATGTATAAAGTCTAAGTTACACCATGGATCCCTGCTCCTAAAAACAGACACTGATTTAACATTGTCTGTAAAGCGTTTAAGAAATGCTTAAAGGTTTTTAAACATGTTAAGCACAATCTTGTGCCATTACATAACAGCAGTAAGTGGTTCTTCCTTGTTTGGCTAGCTGCATTGAAACATGAAAGTCTGTTTATTGTTAGCCTGTTTGAGTCACCAGACTGACACACACACACAAAAAAAGTAACTTCCCAGGTAAGTATGTAGCAATTCAAACATCATCTTACCAGGGATGTTACTGGAAAAACGATTACTGATGTTACTGGTAAGCCTTGAAGTGGTCTGGACAGGCTAAGCCACATGGTTGACACCCTAGCTTGATCTTACTGATCTAATTCTAGGCTTCTCAGGAAGGCCACAAATGCACCAGAGCTTCACAAAGAAAATGAATACAAAAAAAGGAGTCATTTTGAGTTCATTAACAACAGAATCTGAAACAAATTTGCATTATTGTAGTTTGTTTAAAGCCAAGGAGTCTCATCTCAACATTCAAATAACCACATTTATTTGGCCTGAAACCTCACAGCCAGCTGCATTGATGCAGGCGCATCTGCCAAAATCAAATTAAAACATCTATGCTAACTGAACTTATACCCGCAGAACAAAATGTGTAGATCAAAGTATTCGCAGTTTCAGCTTTAAAATGAAACCCTCACTTCAGATTTAATTACACCAATTCACTTTCACCTTGAGATGCCAATTAAGCACAATAGATGGGCCAGATGGTTATTGAAGAGTAAAAAGGCAAATTCACTTTCACCAGCCAGGGCCATTAATTTGAATTTTTTTAACATTCAGCATCTTTTCACACCACTGACTTAAAATATAAAAGGTTTTTAATATGCATGGAAAATGGCAGGTCTGCTTTTGTAGAATTTTAAATACTTTTGTAAAAACACTAAACTTTCAAGACCAAGACGCAAACTGGGTTTTCTACTTGTTTCAAGCCTCAGACTAATTTCAAGGTTTTCTCTAACTAGACAAAACATGTCATTTAATAACATTGTATGTTTCAGGTACAGCAAATTGCTTTTCTTTTGAGAAACAATCACAGCAAACCACTTGTGACGCAGCCATGGTTACTAAATGAAGCCGTGTAGCAAAATAATTTCACTACTGGAACAGGCAATCTCGAGTTATATAGAAAAACATGACAACTTCAAGCTAACAAAGCTTAATGCCAATAAAAATGATAAAAGATCTCAATCACCTAAACTGTCTGGGATCATTTTACACTCTAAGTAGCAGCCAACTTTCCACTTTATTAAGTGGTTTGCTTTCAATACAGGATATATTTAAATGTCAGGTCACCTTTCCCCCCTTGCTTCTTGGAAAAACTCTCCGGCTACAGAGCTGAGGGGAAAGTAAATCTAATAACATGAGTGACAATTTTCAAATTACAAAAGCAAGTAACACTGATGTGAAGTGTTCAACGCATTGCAGCGTATAATCTTTGCTCGGCAAGCCCCCACGTGTCATTTAACACATTTGAAATAAATGAAGGGAACGCCATTATAGGCTAATGAAAACAACTGGG